TTATTTATTCATTTATTTTTTAAATCAACTTTTTATTAATTTATTTCGACATTTATTTCAGCGTACATGTACGTATTTATTTATCGATGAAAAAGGCATTTATCGCCCTCCGTATATGAGCATCTTTTCAGAGGATGATTTCTAAAGCACCTTGTAGCCGAAGATGAGAGTTATAAAGCTGTTTATCGCCCTTCTGACAACTCAGGAATCAGTTCTTAACAGAGCCTTCAATTGGCTGCAGTGGGATGACCTTGAGAAGACAGGGCACTCCACAGGAAGTGATGTAAGTCATGGGGTAAGACACAGCGCTGAGGGGATTAGGCTGTAATCCGTGCTAATAGCCTTGCCATATGCATTCGGTCAGGAACCAAAACAAGTCCAGTACATACTCTACTTAATTAATAACAGCAGGTAACTTAGATGTTAAGGCAAAGAAGATCTAAAAATTTAGTCTGTCATCACATCTTATCTAATACCCCCTGTGGTAATTCCTCTTTAGGTGTGGGTGTGTGCATGTGTGAGTGAATATTGGATGACAAAACTATAAATGACACTATACATATTCAATACACCCAGGGGAAATAGGTTCCCATTGATCCTGGGGTAGAGCCTAGGAGGTGTGTGCTGGTCTGTATGGGTCTTGAGTGTGAGAACAGCCAATATCTTCAGGCCTAATCTGATCAGAGTGAACCAGCAGGAAGGGGACCTTTTTATAATTACATTACCATGCATGCTCAGAGAAGGCTAGGGATGCACTGACTCCAGCAAGTGTCTGCATGTTTTATGGCCATAGTGAATTCTACTTCCCTCAACCTCTAGAATTTACTTAATTAAACGCTGACATCAGCCTACGGTGACTCATCAGTGTTGTTTATTTCAAGCTATTTATTCTGTTTTTTGACTTGTGATTCACAACAATTTAACAGGCGTAATGTGAACCTCTTTGAATGAAAAAGCAGAACTCTGACATCCTATGTTGTGTCTATGCCTCATCGGCACAGTGTATCCACATCACACACTGCACAGGATTAAATTTCACTCCTCCTTTTACAACCTCTAGCCAGTGTTGAACATGGTCCCTGGGCATCTGTCCAGCCATCAGCTTCGATCACATCCAGTCAGTGGAGCACATAACGTCTGCCTCCCATCAGCCCAAGGTAGCTGTTGCTCTCAGGATCAGCTCTCTGATTGGCACGTATTGTCACGCCGAGTAATTGTTATGCAACCATTTGAACGCGGGGTAGCCCATCCTCCATGAGTCTAGACGAGGCAGCGTTCCGTGAAAGTGACTAGGAAAATACCAGAAGCAATGAGACCACAAGTCACAGCTCCACCAATCCCACTTCTCCCTGGTTGCCATGACAACCAGAGTGACATGCAAGTTGAAACTCTGTGTGTTGTTACCATGGGAATGTGCTCTACAGAATGGCACACGGATACAGATAGTTTGATGCTAGGCTGCGCCACCAAAGACCTTTGATGCACCTGCAGTCATATCTGCTAGATCATGTTCCACAACCTCAGACAGGCTGCGACTGAATCAACAGGAGTAATATCTACTTTCAAAGTTTCAACCCTCCTGTGGAAAGTTAATGTACAGTACTTATTTGCTCATGTATATGTCAGAGTAAAGAGGCTGTGAAGGATCGTGTATGTCTGCTGAGCCCTACTTTGCTGCCCTGGATTCTGTCGCAGCAGTCTGATTTCCCCCAGTTTTTCCTGTCTTGCTGGTAAAGCTTGATCTGGGATCTGAGGAATTTATGTGCAGATTAAGTGAGTGTCTGCAAATCATGCAGTCTGCAGTTCTACTCTGTGTTTTTTCCACATAATCTAAATCTGTAAGGGTATTGGGCCAGTGGGTCAGATGTCACGTTTACCACTGGGACCTAGCGCTGCACTGGCCTCCACTGAGCACATCTGTTTCATAGACAGAGATGACAGGATCATGCATCCCTCACATAGAAGCTCACATTTGGCCACTAAACTGAATACCCACTAACTCAGAGACATTAGCTCATAGTGATACAACAAGGTGACTTGCGACCTGAGACAAACTGTAGCTGCAATTAATTCTTAGAATTTGCTGCTTTAATTTTAACATTCAAATTCAAATTCAGTATATCAGGTAGTCAAATCTAGAAAAAACTGTAACTGCAATGTTGCACAATATGACATAATAACATAGATCAGAAAATTATCATGGTGTACTCAGACATTCATTATTTACATTACAGTTATGTAACATGTTCAGCATCCTGTATCATGTAAATGATCCACTTTCCCCCAATTTCTGTCAAAAATATTTTGTCTTGAAAGATGAAAAGCTTTTTCATCAAATGAATTTCCTGAAGCCATTGCTCTTTTCTCTTTTGTTATAGCTCTTTTGCTGGCTACAGTTTTACCAACAAGAATCTGTCGTTTCTTTGTGAAACCTTTTCAGTGTTCCCTCTGTAGGTCAGCAGTTCTCAACCAGAGTCCAGAAGGGTCCAGAAGGGGTCTGTTCATAGGTTTCACTGTCTTATCCAATCTACAGTATAGACAGTTATGGAATAACTAAATCTCATCAGACGGGGATTCCTGAGACTACATTTTACCAAATACGCGTCTGGGGCCTGCTGTATTTTAACTAGGTGGTCCTTGACACCAAAAAGTTTCACTGCTGTAGGTCATAGCAGAGTTGTCTGAAATGGCATATCTCACAGTTTGTTTTATGGTTACATTTAACTCAGATCCTCATTACTTTTAATATATAGTGTTGAGCTTCCTCTGCTTTCCCCCAAGGCTTAGTAATAGGCTGACTTGAGGTCAACTCTGGATATATGCACAATCATTTTAGTTATACCATTCATATCTCTGTGCAGGTCAGTCCTCAAGTCTTTCATAAAATCGTTTAATTGTAAAGACATTTACTGTCTTTGAGTATGATACACACAGTGATACCTTTCTCCCATCATTTCTTTAACCTGCTTTGAATAGCAGGCAGACTTGCCACACCATAATAAAACATACAAAACGTATTATGTATTGTTCTGTTATCACTTAATTAGCTGTCCCCCCACTCAGTGTAAACCATTATCAGTGTTTTGTGAAAGACAAAGTTCAACTTTTTGAATTGTTTTGATTTTATAAACTCCATCTATCTTGTTCAAAATATAATAATTACAATAATTAGTAGACATTATTTGCAGCCATTATTTAATCCAGGTTTAATTGGTATACAAAGAGAGATTTGATTTTCCAGTGTGGTAGCAAATGGTTCAACCACCATCATTATAATAATGTTACAAAATAGCCATATATTGCGGTCTTAGTGCTGTGTAATTTGGAATTTCAGGAATAACACTACACCGGAGGGTGGATGATTTATTCATTCGCTGTAATTTACAAAACTTTGCAGATATACGATAACTTCTAATTAGAAACCTTTTATGTGGGGAGAACTTTTTGCATGTATAATTCCTTAATTACGGATTAACCACAATTCTAGTGTAAAAGTCACTCAGGGTTACAAGGGAGGAGCGGTACAAGTGCTGCATTATTAGTTACTGCTCAGAGTGGAGCCCCAGAATGCCAGGGCTAAAGCAGAGCCATCCTGGCAGCTTGTCCTTTCCAGAGACTCCCAGCAGAACACAGACATGGACTACAACCAGTGTTACCTAAGGACAGAAGTGAACTGAAGTGAGCTAATGGACCAGCTGTTGAGCCTCCTCACATCTCTCTGTGAGCTTCTTGAGAAGCTGCAGCAGTGTGGAGTGCCACCTAGAGGCTGTACTTCTCATTGATGTAACTCATCTCATTTTCACTCGACACCCAGTGACTGAAAGACAAACCAGAAAAAATAATGATAATTTGAATTAAACATGCATGGTCAATCTGCTTGCCACAGAAATATAAATGGAATTTGTACCCAGTGTGTATGCCAGTTGTCTCTTTCTTATAGTGCTTTTGACATATTTAATACATCTTTAGTCTCCTCTGTGAGCTGTAAAAAGTGAGTGGTTTTTAGGATTTTGCTGTTGCCATGGCAGTGATGATAATGCGAACAGTTGCTTCCTGAGTGCAGCTCTATGCTAATGAAGCACAGCCAGGCTCTGTGTGGCCTGATCCTACCTGTCCAATAAGCTCAACTAGTCGGCTGCTGGGCTGAATCGCACAAAAACTGACCAGTGCACTGTTTGAGACATTTAAAAAGGGCCGTGACATTTAGGTGAAATTGGGCTTTCAGAGGAACCGCTATCAAATGCACCATTGACAGAACACTCAGTACATAGTGAACATCATTCAGTGTGTTTATGCGTGTGTGTGTGTGTGTGTGTGTGTGTCTACACTTGTTATCAGACTCCAATGAGTCACCTCAGTATGTTTGTAAGGGGACACAGACTAAAGAGCGGCTGTGTCTTTCTAATTTAACTGAGCAGTTAGTGTAACACTTTAACTGTGTTATTATGTCAGCATCACCATGAACAATAATCAAAGGATAACTCCGATTTTACACATCAAAGTCTGTTTACAGGTGTCAGGGAGGGCTACGGCATATGAGAGAAAGTTGTATAAAGTTTTTTGTGGCTCCAGAGGGAGCTGTTTGGGGTATGATAAACTGCCTCAAATGATGTCACTTGAATCAGTGAAAATGACAAAAACCTCTGTAGCCCACTCTACTTGACTTATCCTCTTTGTTTAACTGCCCATTGGGAGGCCAACAGTGCTAAATTCTTTTAAAGTAAGCGTAAATACAATTAAGGCAACTGTGGACCACCACCACTACTACTACTACTACTACTACTACTACTACTGCTACTACCACTACTACTACTACTACTACTACTTTACTGTGTCATCATTTTTCTCTTTGTCGTGTATGTCTGTCCCCATCTAGGCTGCGGAGGTGGAGAGGCAGCTGTCCACTCAGGTCCATTCATTACGGGACGACTTCAGGGAGAAGAGTATGTCTACAAGCCAGCACATGACACGACTAGAGACTCTACAGGCTGAGGTGAGCCGCTATCAGTACCATTTTCTGTTACACATACACTTCATACTAAGTACAGTTGGTCGAATTTGACTGTTTAGGGTGCACATAGGTTGAGCAGTCATCCACCCTCCCCCCAAAAACAGAAAAGTACAGCTAGGCACTCCTGATTTGTAAAAATAATGTTGCCTGTTTGCAGTTACTGGTGCCTGGCCAGAAGCCTGAGTACTTAAGGTGACAGCAGATCCCAAGGAAAGTTAAAGCAAGAATATTTAATTTTTAAAAGAAGAAATCATATATTCCTCCTTATACGGATTAACAGTTTAATTCAGTACCAATAAGACACACCATTTTTCAATTCAATACACTCTATGTATGACCAATAGCTAATGGTGGCTAATTTTAGATAAATATTGCTGTGTAACTGAGTTTACCACAGCAGTTTAGTATGTTACAGATATTGATTTCAATAGTAAAAGAAGATATAAACACACACATTATCATGCAGTTACCACTTGTGGTCACAGCGGCTACTCTTCAGCAAAAGTTACACAGTCTTGCTTTAAAGTTGGAGCCTTCGGTGAAAATAAATGGAATAAATTTGGAGTGGATCCCACTGAAGAGAAACAGTGCTTTCAACCTTTCAGAGGAGGGTGGTGTTCACCTACCGTGCCAGCAGCATCTCCAGCAAGTCTTCATTCCGTCAGGGCACTCAAATTCCTTCCTCTATTTCTGTAATCTTTATCTATATCTCTCTCCTCACCCATTCCTCTTTCCCTCACCCTCCTTTCCTCTTGGTCGGAGCAGCAAGGGCTAGAAGTGAGTGGTAACCGGACGCTGTCTGTCAGCCAGAGTGCATGCTGCATGTAACGCCTTGTGAAATATAAGAAACAAGGATTGCACCATTATGTTCCTTTGAATTTACAATCGCTTCTCCTCTGTCCAATTGAATGGGATATAGGGGCAAAGTACTATTATTCATGGGGTAGATTATTGAATTTCATGTTGAATGAAATATAGACTCATAGACCTCATACTGTATAACCATAAAACCATACCATCTTACATTTATGTTTGACATTTCCACACCCTCATGACAATCCCTGTTTCCTGAGATCGAGCATGAAAAACATGCTTGGTTGTCGTAGCATGATGTTTGTTGTGATGTCAGTTGTGTCATGTTTGATATCAGCCAGATATATCATGAACAAAGGTACTGTTGGATCATAACAACAATTCAGATTTCCCCGTAGCTTCTCTTCAAAGCCAGGCAGAAAACACCCAGACTGCAGAGCCTGCGCTATAATTGGGAGAAAATGCTACCGCTCTATATTTAGCTGAGATACTGCAATGTCTGGGTGCTCCCACTTTTCTAACGCTTTGCCTTCATATGACATGTGCTGATGACTAATGGCTTTTTGATCTATTTGTATGAGGACAGACTGGCAGCCCAAAAATATCTAGAACCTGGCAATGTGGATGCTCTTATGGTAGCGAAAACAACTGATCCACATGTAAGCTCTTGCACTGTGAAGTAGGTTACCAGATGTAGGTCAAAAGCAGGAGGGATAAAAATGAACTGATGTTTGTTTAATGGGGAAAGCTGCTCAGGCAGATACAAGGCGAAACAATTCATGAGGAATATGTGGCATTGCTGTGATGCTAACCTTCAGTAGAAGGCCGTTGCACATGAATGGTAAGGAGTAATGATATCAAGCTTTGTGGAGACGCTAAAATATATCACCAAAACATTCCTGAAGACGAGGGTGGCAACTAACGCCTACGCCCGTGCTAGGCAATACACATTCTTAAGGCCAGTGGGAGTACTTTTTAATCTTGTGTAAGAGCCCGGCTTGCCTCAGACTAAGCAAAACAACAAAATTTAGCCTTTAATCAGGTCCATAGCTGCCCATCTGTCTGCTATTGAACAATCCTCAGTTATTCCAATGAATGCCTATTTCCTGTGGTGGGGTAACTAACTGGTGCTGTTTAACGTGTTAGATTCAGATGCTGTCGGAGAGGAAGATGGAGCTGGAACGTCGGGTGCACGCCATGCTGGAGGAGAACGAGCTGCTGCAAAATACAGTGGAGGACCTCAGAGAGAGGACGCTAGTGTTGGAGAGGCAGAGTCACGAGAAGGATCTACAGGTACAGACACTTGAATGAAGGACTTTTAGATCTCAGATCTTTGAGGAGTAGCTACAAGCTCTGTAGATAATGTGAGTAATGATCTTCTACAGAGATGTTTTTGTGTAAACGCACTATAATTTCGCCTTGAAGTAGTTGACTGAACCATCCAAATCCATGTTCATTAACATGCTCTGTCACTATCAAATAAACAATTACAATAAATACATACATAAACTGCATAATTCGTACTGTTAAGTCCCAAATGTTGCCTCCTCTGTTGTGTTCAGTTACGGCAGAGCCAGCTGGAGCTCCAGGAGGTACAGATGTCCCACCGGCAGCTGACTGCCCGGCTGGAGGAGCTGACGGAGGAGCACAGCCTCCAAAGCCTCACCCCGCACCCGTCCAGCCTCCTGTGTGAGATAGAACAGAGCATGGAGCAGGAGGAGCAGGAGCAGGAGAGAGAGCAGGTAGCTACCGCAGGATTGTGTTTGATTGCAAAGACCACTAAAAAACCTGTCAAATGACTTTGCTCACTGCTTTTCCAAACACTCTCCCCCCCTCCTTGTTTTGTTTAGCTGCGTATTCAGCTGTGGGAGGCTTACTGTGAAGTCCGCTCACTCTGCTCCCATCTCCGGGGAAACGACGTCACAGACTCGGCGCTGTCCACTGACTCTTCCATGGACGAATCCTCGGAGACGTCCTCAGCCAAGGATGTGCCTACAGGGAGCCTCCACACCAGCCTGCTAGAACTACGGAGGCTAACGCAAAATCTGCTGGATGGCAACGAGTCTACGGTATTGAACAACACACTGACAGCTAGTCACACAATAGCCTGTATTCTTTTTTAAATGAGGTAATTTCCCTCATCATTTCCCTGGACAAACTGATCATTTGTTTTTATTATAGGTAGAGGCAATGGTTCTAGACACTGTAGTAAGCAGCCACTCATTTTTTTTAGTTTTTAAGAGAGAACCAGGAAATTATATAGTAGTACTATGATATAATATCTGTCTGTTGTTTTGTAAATGAAATGGACAGGTATACAGATGAACTGAAAAATGATAAAATGGTACATAATGAAAATACAGTAAGCCCCTAACACAACTGAAATAGGATCTGACCTGAGATCCTCCTGTGTATTGAGTAATAAATTACTTTGGCATATGTTTATCATCAAACCACACCCCTATCAGCAGCTATCAAGAATCATAAATCAGTGACAGTTAAACTACTAGCAATACTGTTTCTGTTAACTCAGCAACGTTGGTTATTTTTGTATATAAAACTCTCATGAAGCTATAGTTACTTACACTATGTAACACTTGTTTTGTAGAAGAAAAAACCAAGCAGAATTAGATACTGTGAGAAAACAGAAAGCTTTAAGATAACACTTTTCTCAGTTAAAAAGCGATTTCAAGAGGAGCTTAAATCATAATGACAGGAAACGCATGTTAACCAAAGTAAATATACATTACATTACATACATTTATTATTGCATCTTCATTCTCCATATTTGTGGATTTGTATGCTTGTCTGTAAACCCATTTGACCTTTTTGCACATTCAGCTGACCTGCTGTGCACTAACTGAAAGACTCTATAGGTTACAGAGCAATTATTTTTCATTGAATAATTTCCATGTAATTAATTTGAAATCACATAATCCTCTCAAGGAATTTATACTTACATATCAATTCCTTTCTAGAAAATTATTAGGAACCTCTGGGACCCGTAAATTAAAGTGTTAACAAAGAGTTTTAAATACAGCTAACTTAATAATACTTCCTCTGTAGGCCTATTTTACAATAATAAACTGTGGGTGGTAACAGCATATATACGTACCGTGAGTGTGTGTTGTGAAGCGGTGTGTGTTGTGTGTTGAAAGGGCTCGCGGCGCAGTGATGAGGAGGCTCTGGAGGAGCAGGTGAGGAAGCTGGGAGAGGAGCTGAGGGAAGTCAGAGAGCTGTACGAGGCTGAGCAGGACAAAGCACGCAGCAGTGAAGAGGAGGTGCTACAGCTGCACAATCAGGTACCGGCTTCAGTGACATCACTGTACATGTCACGCATACACATGATATGTATGTGCACATCAGTGACACACAAGAGATCAGGTGATGCATAAAGAGGTTAAAGCGTGAGCAATCTTCACAGCGAGGCTCTGCTGCTAACTGTGTGAAAAGAAAGTGTCAGACAGCCCTTATTAATTCAAGATCACATCCAGGATTTCTTGGTGGAATAACATTGCTCACGTCTAAGAATAACATTTAGACTGTCAGTGCTGCAGATGTAGTCCTCACCAGTTTGTGTGCCAGTGTGAACTTGATGTATGTTGTTTATAATGTAGGACATCGCTTCAACCTTGTCTTCTTTCTGCCAGGACAGCTCTCTCTCTATCTCTCTCTCCTGTGGGTGAAATGGCATCTTACATGATTTACACAAAATGAGCTCCACACACACACAGTTATTTTCCTGTCGAACTGGGTCAACCAAACATCAGTTTCAGTCGGTATAGCGCTGACATTAGAGACTGAATGTGTTGAATTTGAGGCCAGCAACTCACACATCTGTTTCTTTCTCCCATGTGACCTTCAGATGGCGCTGCTGTCTGTAGAGATGTGCTCTCTCCGGGAGGAGAACGAGCGGATGAAGACGATGGCTGAAATACGAGAACCCAGCGAGCAGCTCCAGAGTGCTATTAGAGACAGAGATGACGCCATAGCCAAGTACGATTACATCAATAAAATGTCAATTCCAGTTTGATGAGTCAAGAAGGCAGCTTGTGTTGCTGACTTTACTGTAGCAATGTTGCTATGTTCCCAGTTATCAGACATTACTTTAATGTAATCATAATTGATAGAAATGATGGCCAACATAAGATGAGAATAACAACTTGTAAAGATCCAGAATTTTCCTTTCAATTTGCCCCTGTTGGTCCTTTACATGGTGTCATTCTCTGCTCTTGCTTAAAGGAATAGTTTGACTAGAATAGTTTTTTCGGGGAGAGTTAGCCATTAAATATGAAGCTATGACTTATGACTTGAGCTTATAGATTGGAAGCTGGGAGAAACAGCCATTTGTCAGACTATTTGTCACACTGTCTGTGTGTCTTGCAGGAAGAAAGCGGTGGAGATGGAGCTGGCCAAATGTAAAATAGACATCATGTCTCTGAACAGCCAGCTCTTGGACGCCATCCAGCAGAAGCTCAACCTGTCGCAGCAGCTGGAGGCTTGGCAGGTGGGTCAAAGGTCACAATGTATAAATATAAATATAAAAGTAAAAGCCTAATAGTCATTTTGTAATATTTTGGAATGTTGTTACATAAATAAAGCTGCTCTGCTCTGTCTGATTTCGTCCAACTTTAGATGAAATTAGCGAGCAGACTATTATCTGATATGTATAAGAATAAAATGACACTAACTTCTAGAGCAGTGTGTCCATTTTCCTTCCCTTCCCTGTAACTTGTGTTTAGTGTTAGTCTATTTTAATCTGTGCACATACACTAAACCACTCAATTAACTTATGAGGGTGTATGTCAGTTGCCTGTCTGATGGTTGTCAATAAGGAAACATATTACACATGTAGCCTGAGGACATAGTGTGTGTGTGTGTGTGTGTGTGCATGTGTGTGCATGTGTGTGCGTGTGTGTGTGTGCGTGTGTTCCCTCCCTCCCCTCCCTCACCTGTAACTAGCAGCTCTTTCCTCTCTCTTCTCCCTGCCCACAGTTTGCCTCCTCAGGGCTCTTTACTGTTTGGCTCTTGTGGTTTCTGATCTAGTGGCCTTTCTCAGCTTCCGTACCACCCTTTCTCCTCTGTGGTACCCCCCCCTCCTGCCTTAGAGGTGAGCCCGAACCACACCATCTCTCCGTTTTCATTCTGCACTAAACCGACTACGCCACGCTGAGCCATTCCATGCCACGGTTTATTCAGTAGACACGCCCATCCCCGCTCCGCTTTCTCTCTGAAACCATTAATCACCAAAGAGAACCGTCCAAACCCACCACCCTCTCTCTCCACCAGCCTCTGTTTCCTCTCTCCATACACCTGTACCCCCTAAAGGAATGGTTTTAGGAGATTGGTCCACTGTTCAGTTTACCTGCTGAGAGATGAGAACACAGACACCAAAAACACCTTTGTCCCCAGTAGATCCTAATAGCTTGGTGGTGCATAGATATTTACCCTGCTCAGTGATATTAGCATCTAAAGTAAAAAGGCTAATCTTTTATTAATAAAAAGTAGTCTTATACTAAGTACTAGTTAGTCTCCCATTACAATTGTGGCGTATCAGGGCCCCCTGGTGGCCTCAGCTCTCAAGAACTACCAACAACAAACCTCCATCCATTGGTTAACTCAAAGTATTTGGTTGCAATTCAGAGCAGCGGTCAACTAAAAGTTAATCTCAGCAGTCATGACTTTTTTGGACTTTAGACTGGCTCTAATGTTTGCATTTTATTGCGAACACTTTTACCTACTCAGGAAGGCCTCTAAAAGCTATTCAAATCAATTGAAATCTGAGTGAAAAAATGACTCTTTCACTAACTCTTCACACATAGACGTATGCCACAAAAACGCTGAAGGCGTCACAAACATTTGTGAATCACTGACTTAGAAGATGGTGGCATCTGGATATGTATGGTGACTATTTGAACAGCCTGAAGCCATTTTCCTTGAAAGAGATTTGTGTGTGAATTAGAGGCAAATTGTAAAGAGCTTTGGAAAAAAACAGTGCTGTATAAATGTAGTCCATTTACCTCTAAAGCACAGTATGAAGTGACATCATATATGCGTGTGAAAATACAATTTTTAGATCCTCATTGTTTTAGTTTTGTGCACATATTCCCAAATCAAATTAACACACAGCAAACCTGGCCAGGTAACATTGAAGAAAAACTGTATACATTGTACAGAAAGTGTGTGGAACAGCGGTTAATCTAGCAAAAAAATTTGCCCTGCAGCCCCCTGGTAGGTTAATCTGGCCATGGTCATAGTCCATACTCTGGGCTGCATGCCATTTATGATCACTTACTATATTTTGAGAGATATTAAAGATCCCCTCCAGACATACATTAAGACATATGTACAAATAGTCTGCTTGGACAATAATGTGTGTCTGGTATGTTGTTTGCACATAAAAGTACATTAAAAAACCCATAAAAGGTGTTTACTTCATCTACAGACTATTAATATGCAAATTTTGTTAATTTCTGCTGGACACAAGATGTCTCCTACTTCACTGAAAAGTCAATTCTCAGTGGATGTGCACTGGT